AAAAATCAACGCAAGGATAGCACAAGGTGTTGAAAAAGCCAACAGTACTGATTCCTAAGAAAATTTTTCAGAATTTTGTAACCTGGGTTAAATGTGACTGTATTTGACAAACTTATTCCTAGATAGAGCAGCTTACTGCCTAGCAAAATTCCTCCGTCCGTTAAAAACCCTAACTGTGAATGAACAACACAGAAACACCGATCTTTTTTAACCTAGTAAACACCAAAGTAGTATGTAAATTATTCAAAGAATAGTAAGACGGGTAAATAGCTTACCAGCCTAATATCACGATTTTCCTTTTTAATCAACAGCCTCTGAAGCAATACACAAGAACGATAAATATCGCCGACAAATTATGGATTACTAAAACCCTACGGCTCTCTAGGTTCATTTATAAAATAACGTTTGAACTAAACTACTGAATCACAGAAAAAACCTTCTCCTAATAGAAAATTCTAAAAAAAACAACAATTTCTCCTCAGTTGCTATTCTAAATATTAAAATTCTTCTATTAAAGCAGTTCTTATCCAAAATTACAAATACAATAGAAAAAAACCTATTCTTTCAAGAGATAAAAAGCAGACTACGCGACAATGACTGAAAAACCACATTGTCATTATAAACACAGCACAACAGCCTAAGACTCTTCACCCTGAAAAAAACAATAAAAATACTTCAATATGTAATACTGGCCACCATAAATTTCGCCCCGTCCGCTAGCACTTCTGATTCTTTCTCTACCCTAGTTACAGGTAACAGCTTCTTTATCAGTATCACTGAGTCATCAAGCAACATAATCAAATCACGAAAGCATGCAACCCGTCGTTGGTTCTCGATACAACCGGGATATTAAATATTGAGAATATTCAAAGCATGTGACAGCTCGTTTTAGATTCAAAGGGGATACGAATAATCTAATACGTTATACAGCTACTGTAATTTCCAAAGAAAAAAAAACAGTAATAAAAACGCTAAAAATCAAGATAAATTTAATTTTTTAGAGCTGCAGAGTGTAATGAAAATAAAACTCAGTTCTTAAAGATAAGAAAATTAAAGTGGGAAACTGAGAGGTAAGGTATTGATCTAATTTTTGTTGAGGAAGCGGGTTAAAGTATATTAATTAAAAAAATAGGAAATAAAATCCCTTAAGAGACTAAATAATGAGTCTTATTTTGACAATGACAGTTTTCTAACACTATCAAAAACTTTGAATTGAAGAGGTTTCAAGAAATTGTTCAATTTAAAGAATCCTGCAGATTGAGATGAGAATGAGAGGCCCTAAGATAATAAAAAATATTATTCTACAGACGAAAGTATGAGATTTCGCACTGTTCCCGTTAACTAGCGCCCCTGATATATAATTACTTCTTCGTACTACTTCTTACAAAGAGAACATCATATGGATGTGAATAACTGACGACACGTTGCAAGAAGTAAAGACACGTTTTAAAAGAATTTGCAAGGCATCATACAGCCAAGCAGCTAAAACAAAACGAAAAATACATAATGTATCAAAAACATATAAAAAGCCAATTGTCGCAAAACAGAAACTAAAAGGTATTAAAAGTGGCTTTCAATAGAAAGCAAAATCTTACAAAAGAAAAGAAGACTCACAGTATTTACATCAGTGACCTTTTAGACAAATTAACCAGTTCTATTTGGCACTGTTTACATGAATGTTAGATGACGAAGCAGCATTAGGAAGCCTTATACCCAATGCGGTCTCCTTCAGTAACGAATTGAGCTCAAATATTTTGAACATATCAATTATTTGCAGCGACTCATTCTTTTTCGCAGCTACCTTCTGAAAAAACTGTATTCAAAAACTAAAAAAAAATCCACGTAAATAAGCACCTCAGTTTCAGCAACTAAAATGATAGTTTTTAGAAGAAAGGTAATGTAGATTTTATACGATGAAACAGTAATACGGGCCCTTATCGTTGGTATGCATAATAAGATAGCGGCATAACGACCGTCAGCTTCGCTTGCTTCATAATGCGCACATATATAACGGTATAAAGCTGCCAGAAGTTTCTTCTGTTCTGCTGTTACATTTCGCTGACTGGCAGAATCTAGTCCGTCAGTATCTAAAAAACAGTACTTTGAAATGCACAAGAGTTGCCTCACCCCCACCTTCAAATCAAGCATCATCCCTCGCAAAAAAAAGAAGCTAAAAAGAAACGATTATGAAGAGATAATTCCTCAAAAAACACTAGGTTTGTAAAACCTGGATCAAAAAACATAATAGCCTGAAGCACAGCAAATTCAGTAGTCGATATATTTAATCTTCTGAACGGTTTCATGACATAATCGATCATTGCTGTGAGCACCGGGGTCAGACCAGTCAAGCTGAAGCAGACATTTAGGTTTCAAATTGAATTTTCATTTGTGAGAAAAACCAAAAAAAAAAAAACAATTCCCAGTCATGTAACGAAGCAACGGCACTGAAGTCTCCATTCAAGACATTCTAAACGCATATAAACGAGGCAGATGCTTCTCCTCCCCACCCCACCAAAAAAAACTTTCTGCATGTTAAATGCAAAATAAGTTAACACACATCGAATTTTCTCTGTTTACATTAAGGTATTTAAGATGGCTACGAAATATGAATGGCAAGCAGATAATGCAAAAAAAAAATTTTCTATCCTTAAAGAAGTTTTCAACGGCAGTTCATACCCCCCATACCAGGAATAACAATAGTCGCTGTCATTCAGAATAAAATGAATGCTACGTATAAAACCAAATTTCGAAACTATTACCTTCCCAGCGAAGCACAGTGAGCAGCGGAAGGACGGCTACTTGTCGATGAAGGATTTCCACCGCATCCGTCGTAGAAAGATGGTCCAGAATAATCGCATATAGTATTAGCTTGAGATCTGTCTTTTAAGACTTCAACTTCACCACTTTTTGTGCCCATTAACTTAGGTTTAGTAACAGTAGCTTCCGTCTTCATTCTGTCAGCAATTACACCATTCTGAAACGCATCCAAATCCGCGCATGAATTCTTAGCACAGTACAACAAACTGTTCGTTCCTTCATACGGCTGGTGAACTTGAACGTTCCCTCCACCCACACCACCAAGCGACGTTGAAGCAGAACAAAGTTCCTTCTTATCGCCTGTGCTTCTAAATGAAGGCAATTAAAACACTAAGTCAGATAAAGAAGGAAGCTGAAAAAAGAAAAATTGTAAAAGCGGTTCAAAAAAGACAATAAAAATAAAATGTGATAAAAAATAACCCTTGGGAAATCAAAGCATTCTCAGCAAAACCACCAGTATTCAAAATTTTATTTTCGTTATGTTCTGGAGTACGAAATGCTTCACACATGACCATGTAGGAACTGGCGTGATTTGTTATCAAAGCCACCTGAAAATTATCTATCACGAGTTTCGTTTAAACGAAATAAAGAGGCTGAAGACGTTTAAAATTTTTTAAGTAAACATTTTCATCAAAAGATTCATTACCTTGTCAGAATATGGAAGGTTTTTGAAAGCTGGGAACGTCTTGGCCCAATCTATGTATAAAGCAATAATACGAGAACGCCAGAAAGGTAAGTGTGGCTTTTCGTTACCAGGTTTTGGAGACGCTATGGGGTCGGTCATCTGAAACAACGCGTCTTCATTGTCTTATTAGGCAAATACGAAAAAGTAACAGTATGTAGCATAAAAATCAGGTTTCTTTTCGTAGATACAATTCAGGAGCATTTGAAATTTACGTGCCGGAAGCAACAGAAACCTACAGCCCCGCATAAGAGATAGAAGAATGGTAGCACCTTTAAATTTTAAATTTTGAATTTTTGAATTTTTGACAGCAGCATCTGACAAAAAATCAAGTACTGACAGCAGTTTTGAAAAGTACCTTCACTTCAATCGGTTGGTTGAAAAGACTTGGAGACGCGAGTGCATGATCCAACGATCCGTAAGGTTCAATTCGACCCCGCGATAACAGTAGAGTAAAATTGTTTTCCAAAACTGTTAGTCGGTCCAGTAGAGGGTCAGTCTAAATTAAACACTTCAAATTAATATGATTAACCTCGCGGTTAATGTTCCGTACAGGCATATAACCAGTGAGCTGACCAGTAAGGTTTGGCTACTTAATTAATAGAAACCTGTGATTGATTTGGATGGGTCCCAACGCTCGGCCCCGAATTGTAATCTAAAGGACTGTTGGAGCTATGTTCATCAGCTCCACTTTCATTACGACCGGGAGACTCTCTGGCAGCGCTAAATTTGTACAGTAAAAATGAGTTAAAGGCACAAAAGTCATAAATCATAAACCAATATGAAATTTCTAAACCTTGACTCTTCGTCATCACTGCTCGCAGCTAACGAAGAGGTCTTCTGCTTTTTTTCGGATACAGAAACCTTATCAGCTTTCCTTTTCCGTGTACGTTTTGTATAACCAATTCTATCTCTGTCATTTTGTATTGCTAAAAAATCTTCAAGTTTTTTTAACTACGAAAGCAGGTTGAAAAATATGCGAAAAATTAAACCGCCTAAGGTGTAATTCAAAGAAAAATTAATGCAATGATATCTCAAAGCAAAGACCCCGGAATCTGGAAAAGCATTTAAAATAAAACTCTAATATAATTTTACAATAAAAATTCTGAACAAAATTTAGCCATTATGCCCATTCTTTACAAAGAAGATGACGTCCACAGCAAAAAATACCATACACTAAGAAAAAGCCAACACTGTTAGTTGGTAAACGCTAAAACACAAACGAAAAGGCTTACAGTTCCGGTCCATTCCAACTTCCAAGCATTTCTTGAACCTACAGTGTCGACATGCACATCTTCCACCTAAATTTCTTAATTTTCTTCGGCAATAAATTTCAAAAGACCAATTCAAATATCTGAATTTGAACTAAAATTTGAAGACGAAATAAGAAATTATTAATTTAGTGTTTGATCTAAACTGAGTGATCTTAAAATCGCTAACTTTCCTACCTTTACTAATAGGACAATTTCCATTGCCCATACAAGCGAAAGTCCGGTTTTTCTAAAAAAAAAAAAAAAAGAATAAATAAACAAGAGATAATTAAGAAAATAGCATAAATAAAGATTAAAAAATAAAGCCTAGGTAAGTTCACAGATGTAAAGTGATGGTTTAGAAGACCAACCACAACTGCCCGACGAAAAAATGTTTTGCAACCGTTACATGATGGGATAGAGTAGTGGTTTCCTGTGGCTAAATCTTGACAGACGACACAAAGCGTACCTTAAACAACGATAGTTTAAGAATTTATATATCTATAAGGATTAAAATCTCCATCTAACAAAGAAAGGATATTCACGACAACCTAAATACAAGAGATAAAGTTAGGTTGTAATCTAAAAATGAAAATCAAGAGAACAGCTCAATGCAAACCTGGAGGTAATTTTTCGCTCATTTAGGATGACCAAATATTATCATAACATCTAAATGAAAGAACTACTGACACAATAAAGGAGCAGAAGTAACTGCTTACAAAAAGAAACTTCTGAACCAGTTAGTTAAGAAGAATCGATAAAAAACCATAGACAGAGGTACACTTCAGTAAAGTACCTATAAGTATATTTA